GCGGCGCCCGCCGCGGCGGCGTCTGGCGGCGGCGCCGCCCCCGCGACTGCGATGACCCCCGCTCCCGCCGCGTCCGGCGCTGCTGCTGCGTTCGGGTCCGCGAACGTCATCGCGCAGGCTGGGCCCCCAGTGCAGTTCGCCACCGACAGCTCGATGAAGAAGGGCGAGGCGGGCAAGGGCCAAAAGCCCGCGGCCGCGCCGCGCCGCAGGGCGGCCCACAGCTCCGCCGGCGTGGGCAGCCGTCGGAGGCAGTAGGTCTGGGCCTCCGCCACGCCGCCGACGCGGCCGCCCTGCCCGGCGATGAAATAGACACTGCTGACATCGCCGTCCGCCCCCACCGCCTCGCCGTAGTCGCCCATGTCCGGCGTCGGCGCATGGCCCGTGGGGTACAGACTCAGGCGCTCGTGGAACACCCCCGCGCCAGGCACGTTGTAGCGGGCGATGCGAAACCCTCCCGCCGCGGGGCCGGCCGCCATCACTGCGCGGGCGCAAGGCGCCGGAAGGCCTTAGCCTGCGCAGCCGCCAGCGCCTGCACGTCCTCCACCGCCGCCAGCGCCGCGGCCGCAGCGGCCGCCCGCTCCGGGACGGGCGCGACCCCGCGGGGGCGCGTTGCCCGGAGGGCCGCCGCGGCCCCGAAAGCGGCCCCAGCAAGGGCCCCGCGCCAGCTGCCGCGGCCAGCTGCGCCCCCGAGAAGCCCGCGCCCGTGGCCGGCGCGATCGCGCCCTCGCCGCCTGGGCAAGAGCAGGTCAAGGGCGGGCGCGTCAGCGAGGGGGCGCAGTAGCAGTCGGGGCACGCCGGGGCGCTGGCCCGCGCCACCAACGCGGTGGTGAACGCCCGCGCCAGGTCGTGCGCGAGCGCGCCCAGCCCCCGCGGCATGCCCCGGCGGCGGCCCTTCAGCGCGAAACTGAAGGGCCTAAACGGCAGCGGGGCGCGCGGCCTCTCTCTCTCTCTCTCTCTCTCTCTCTCTCTCTCTCTCTCTCTCTCTCTCTCTCTCTCTCTCGGCAATCGACATTCACTGGCGAAGTAGAGAACAGGAGGAGGAGGAGGACGGGGGGCATCGGTAGAGCTGAGGGGGGCAGTCCTCTCCCTGGCGGCGCGACGGGCGCACCGCGGGCCCACGGGGCCAGCTCATGGCTTCATTAGACGGCGAGCCTGTCGCGGCCAGCAGCGCGGGCCTGCACGTGCTTAGCGCAGGTGTAGTCGTTCCTGTAAAGGTTCTTGACCTCCAGGTGAATAAAGTCGCTGACAACAAGGCGCTGGATAGTCATCAACAGCGCGTGCTCCCCGTTGGGAGGGTATTCTGAGCAGAGACCCAGACGGTCCACCGCGTCCGCCTGCGAGTGGGTCCTCGGCAAGCACGCGAAACGGCTCAGACGCGGGCATGCGAGGTGGTGGGCGATCGCGTCGGACCCGCCCTCGCATCCGAAGACGCACTGGTCAAACTCGGGAGCGACATGCATCTGCGAGCTCGTGCGCCGGCCGCCCGCCAATGCGCGCAGCGCGTCCCAGCGCCGCGACGGCGCGACCCCCTTCAGCTTCAGCTCGAGGGGCGCCCAGCGGGCCCGCAGCTCGGGCGGGGCGGTCAGGGCGTCGTGCCACGCGGCGAGGCGCCTGGCAATGGTGATCTCGAAGCTACCGATGTTCCAGCGCGAGTTGAGCGCGTGAATGAAGAGGCGCCGCGGCCTGGGCTCGCGGGCCGCTTCGCAAGCCAGCGCGGGCGAAATCGCGGCGGCGACGATCAGGGACCCGCGGAGAGCGGCCTGCCAACATCTCCGAGAAACGCCGCGCAATGGCTAGCGGCCCCTTCCAGAACGGCGGCGACCACCGACCAGCGCAGTGATCAGCCAGGCCACGTGCATCAGCCACCATGGACTCGAATGTCTGGAAGTACTGCGACCACTTCGCCACGGCGAAGCTGGCGGCGCGCCGCTGGGAACCCAGGGAGTAGAAGGGGCAGCGACCGCGGTGCAATCCCTGGCATCCAGTTAGCGAAATCACGGACGTCCTTGAGGCGGTACGCGCTGGGCGGCACGCGCAGCACCTCGTGCGCTGCGCGAATCTCCTTCCGACGCAGCGGCATGGGGGGGTCGAAGAACTGCGCGGGGTAGCCGAGCACGGTGATCCTCGACGTCTGGCAGAGCATCGCATGGCTCTCGATCGGCGCGGCGGAGCTGCCAGTGGCCACGACCAGCTGACGCCACTTGGCACCCGCCCAGGCCAACTGCATCACATTGTCCGTGCCGGGGCCGACATGGGCGCCCAAGTAGAGGCCCTCGTCGGCGATCCTGGAGGCGGCCCAGTCGGGCGCGAGCTGCGTCGGGGGCGCGCGAGGCCCCGCGCGCACTGAGTCGGAGAGCTCGGCCCAGAGCGGAACGATCACGCACTTCATTGGTTTGAAGCGCAAATTACAAAATACTGCAGCATGTCGGAATACCTCTGCCAGAGGTGCCAGCATAGCGATGCGAAGCAGGTGCAGCCGAGATTGTCAGCGAACGCCGTTGCCGCCCCCTCCTCTGCAGTGGGAAGGAGAGCGCATATCGCGCGGATGATGACGCCCATCGCTGCGGACCAAACCGTGCCCGACAGCGGGCAGCCCCGCGCGACTCCCGAGGCGAGCGGGCGCAGGAAGTGGCAGGCCCCATCGATGACAGCGCAGCCAATAGCTTGGCCGTGGAGGGCCGAGACAGCGCGGAGGAAGCCGATCTCGAACTGGAGGTGGCCGAGCGCCTGGAAGAGCCATTGCGTACCCAACGATGGGGAGGCAGCAACAATATCGAAAAAGAGAAGCGTTGGATGGCCCTGCGCTGCGCTGCTGCGCCAGCCTGACATCCTACCCAGCGCGTCCACGACAGCGATGTTGTTGCAGAAGTAACGCCCCTTGGCGAAGCCCTGCTGGACCTCGTGGGCGCGCGCCTCCACCTGCGGTTTCACCCGTGCATTCATCGCTGCTGCAAAGAGCTTTGCATCGGTGTTCTCGCGCGATATCGGGCGCGCATTGCCGGCCCCCCCCCCCCGCGCAGCAGACGGCGTCGGCATCCTCCGTGCCCTTCGGGAAGATAGAAAAGATCGAGTCATTGAATGACAACGGCGCCCGACCTGTTGGAAAAAAGAAAAACCGCGTCGCCCCCCCCTGCGCCCCGGGCACGCCCTCGGCGACAAACTCGGCGCAGCGTGGGAGTCGGTCAGGACCGGGCGCCGAGGCTCGCGAACGCCTCGCAAAGTTGCGCGCGGCACCTGCTGAAGGGATGATGCGCCGCTGCTGCGAGACGCCCGGCGGCGCGAACTGCTGCGCGCGCGCCCGGAGCGCAGCGCCGCCCGCGTTCTTGCGCTGGAAGATCGGGGGCCAGCGCGGCTGGGGCGCTTCGACCTGGTCGAGCGGCTCGGTGACGACGCGAGACTCGGACGCGATGCGAATGCCCGCCAAGTGAAGCACGCGCCATAATGGAACCCATGCCCTACTGCGGCGCTGCAGAAAACGCGATTGCATTATTGTTGCCATTCGACCTCCAAATTGCGCCCTTGCCGCCGAGCGCGCCGGGCTGCTTCCATTGCTCGGGCTTGCCGGAGGCAGAGATTCAGAAAGTGCGCCTTCCGAGACAGCTCCGCGAATCTTACCTCGTCAAGTAGAGATGCGCACCCGCCCTCGATCCAGAGAGATTCGGCACCCTCCTCCGTCGTGCGTTTGAGGGCGCGGGCTAGCTGCAGATCTCGTTTCCGGATCGAGCTGGAAATCGAGCGATAGGTGAACGGCTTGGCCTCGGCAGCCGTCTGAGCGCGCGCATTGCTAGGGCGCGTGGTCAGCTGGTCCCTCGCGAGCCTTGCCGGTTCAATCACGAGCTGCTCCTAGCCCGTCCACTGAGCTCCGCGGTCGTATTCTGGAGCCCCGACTGCTGCTGGCGTTTGTATCTGGGCAGCTGGAAGAGACGCGCAGGGATGGGCTGCGCATCTTCCTTAAACGGCTTGGCCAACGCGACGGTGACATCAAGGGTCGCGCGGTCGCTCAGCCGGCGGCCACTCAACACGGCGGGGCCTCTATCCACACTCAGCTTCGTCGCCAGGTTGGGATACGCATGCGCAGGAAGGCTGCAGCATACCCGATCCATACTAGTCCCCATTCAGAGTGTGAGCATCGAAGCGCGCGGGCTCGCCGCTAGACGCCTCCGTCGCGGTCGCGAAGACGCTGCGCCAGAAGGACTGGCGATGCTGATCGCCGCCCAAGTTGGCCAGGAGCAGCGGCCGCAGCTCCGCGAAGGAGACAGCAGGCTCCTCGTGGATGTTAACATCACCAAGGGAAACGAAGAGGCGCTCGGGCGGGGCCGTGCGCGCCCACTTCTGGCACTTGGTCCACGTCGCGCAGATGATGTGCCGCTGATCGGAGGTGAGCTCGAAGTTGTGAACATTGAGGATCGCGGCCGCGCAGGTGCATCCCGAGAAGTATTCGAGCAATTGGACACGCCCAGGTACCAGGTGATGATGTACGACGAGCGCCCGATTAGCAGCAGCACGCATGTGCGAGGGTATCGACGGCCGCCGGGTACCATCATGCCTAGGGGAGGTGACATCTGGGATCCTCGCCCCTTCGCCATGGTCACCAGGAGGGGGGGGGGGGGAGGAAGAGGGGGGGAGCCCAGCGTAAGCACGGTCTATGTCTGAAGCAATCTACTCTGATCCGCCACCCTTCAGAAGAGCATGCGGTGACGCGGCGGCGGGCGAAGCCCCAAGAATAGCAGCGTGAACACGGGGGGCCCCCGAGGCAGGCGGGGACAAGGTAGGCGAGCGCGTCGATGCTGAGGGCGCAGGGCAGCACCGCGAACGATGAAGCACACCAGCATGGCTCACCAACGCATCTGACAGACCAGCAAGAGCCGTACTACAGACGCGGAGTTGAAGAAGGTCGGAGCGTCGTAGGTATGGCGCATGCGGTATAGCCCAGTCATGTTCGGAATGCCCAGCGTGGCTCGCGCCCCCTTCAAGACCCAGGGAAGCCCAGTCCATGTCGCAAATGTCTGCCTGCGTCGCAGCAAGATCAGGGCGGAGCACACCATCTGCATGATCGGGATAGCCACGACACGAAGCACCTCCACCACACGGTAGCGCAGCGCCGACGTGAAGGGCCAGGCGGGCTGGGGGGGCGGCGTACGCAGGATCGTCGCAGCAGCAAAACAGAACGTCACGAGGTCGCTCGTCAGGTGCGGGAACGTCAACACAGCCATCCGGCGGGACAGGTTGAGCACCGCCAGCATGGAAATCATCCACTTGCACGTCTGGCTGCCGAGCAACAGGAGCGCCACCTGGGACAGCGGCGACCTCCAGCGGGCCGTCGGAGAGCACCACGCCAGCAGGAACAGCGGGCCGCACACGAGAGCCTGAGTCTTGAACGGCGTCCGCATGAAGAGGTACCACGCGCGCATCCTGCAGACGAGCACCGAGAAGTCCGTCCACAAGAAGAGCACCAGGGTCGTCGGCACCAGTGCGTGGATCAGCAGCCGCACCACCCTGAAGACACAGTCGAGGATCGTGCTGCGCATCTCGATCACCATGCGGATCGAGAGCACCAGAACGAGGAGCATGAACGCCACCATCAGCAGCGGCCGCGACATCGCATACATGCTCACGCAGAACGGCTTCATCAGCTGCCTCGGCCAGGGCACGAACGGGATGGTGAACAGCGCTAGGAGGAAGAACAACAGGGGCAGGAAGACCCGTTCCCCGAGACATCTCACATATCTCAGGAGCACTGCGACCAGCAGCACGCTCGCGCCAGAGAGATGTAGCCAGGGGCGTCGCCGACGCAAGTTCTGGACATAGTCGAGAAAGCCGAACGTGTTCCACAGCAACCGCAGCCTCAGTGGTCGCCGCAAGATGGGAGCGCCTGCAGCGAATACCATAACGGCAAAGAGGAACATACTTGCATGCCACCTTTGTCGCGATCCGCGGACCGACGTCGAAGATCTTCAGACAGTAGAAATCGTATACCCCGCAACCAGCAACCACCCGATCGCCAGGACGAAGAAGAGAAACGCCACCAGCAGCAGCGGACGCCTCAGCCCGAACATGCTCACGCAGAACGGCATCGGCAAAGTCGTCGTTCATCTCGAGATCGTCACATTCGACAAGAGCACCAGCGTCGTCGGCACCAGTAAGCTGATCAGCAGCCGCATATCCCTGACGACCCAGCCGAAGAACGCGCTGAGCATCGCCGTCACCACGTGGATCGATAGCACCATGAGGAAGAGGACGAGCGCCACCAGCATCAGCGGGCGCGCCAGCGCAAACATGCACACGCAAAACGGCTTCATCGGCAGCCTCGGTCCGGGCAGAAACCGCGGCCTCAGAAGGAGAAGAATCCGAATCTCGAAGATTATCATCAGCACGAGGTGCAGCGCCCGCCACGCCTTTCTCTTCGAATCTCCGCAACTTGGACTCCTAATCGATGTTCCAGTCGAGGAGGCCGTCACACTCAGGCGACGAAGAAGGAGCGCACACCCCAGGCGGCGAACAGGAAGGCGGCGAAGACGAGCATTTGTTCACTTGCAGCTCAGCGATGAACGACGCCACCTGCGGGATATCAGAGTCGAAGCAGGTTGCGATCGGGAAGACCACAGGCTGGTGGAAGGGAGCGAACATCGACTGCAGACCGAGCGAGAAGACAGAGAGCATGTGTGACACAGTCACGACGTCCGCCAACACAGCACCACGATGAGGAAGAAGGTCATGCAAAACAAAAGGGGTTCTCACCGAAGGCCGCGGAGCCTCCGCAGCCGCCACGTCTTCACCACCGACAATCTTCGGCACCTGCACAGAGGGCACACGATGCTTGGCCCTGCCAGCACGAGCGTGCGCACGAAGATGAGTAACCGTCACATCAGGGCCCACACGATCACGCGCAAGAAGAGCGGCCTGACGGAGCCCATGGGAACGCACTCCGTTATCAGCTTGAAGTTGGGCGTGGAGGGCAAGACCTTGGCACATGCACTTTGCATTCTCGTACAGCGCAGCGGGCACAGCGATGAACCGATTGCCAGGGGGAGGAACATGCAGAAAGCCAAAACGACGAGCCCGACGAGCACGAGCGTCACGGGCATCGGCAGAACGCTGGTGAACCATGTCACCAACGCGCAGACATGCACACCACCAGAGCGGCGCCAGCAGCCATCGACATGCAGCGGAAACGCGGACGCGTCTGGGGCCCCGACCTAGCATGGACTTGAGCCAAAATTGCTACGGTGGGGGAAGAGGACGAGGAGGAGGAGGAGGAGGAAGAGCCAAACGAGGTCCCAAGCCACGACCATCACGACCGCCACGCAAGCCAGCCCAGGACTGGATAGACAGAACGCACCCTTTTCCCTTGGGGAGGGGCAGGATGACAAGGCATTCTAGGGGCCTGGTGGGCCTTCACAAAACGGCGAGGCGTGTCTTGAAGGTCTAGCCTGCCAGATCCACACCATCACGAACAGAGCAGAGAACCATGTCGTACACTAGCACCGCGCACGCGCTTCGCGCCGCGCGCTTAGGTTCTAGCGCAGAACAGGGCAACGTTCCGGGACAGTGGTTGCATGTCTCGATGCCCCGTTGCTTGAGATGTCCCGGGATCGCCACCTTCTGCGTCGCCCCTCCTCGCTCACCGTGGAGCCCTACTTGGGGCCTTTTGAAACGTGCGGGAACTCAAAGGCCACTTGGGATCCTCTCTGGGGCTCTTGGGGCGTCTCCAAGGCGCACCTCGGAGCTCTCCCAACAACCCGGTGCCGCCCGTGGAGACATTGACGGCTGATCCGTTCCTCCGCAGGGATCTCTCATCACCTCGCGCATCCACCCCTGGCAGCATGGCAGGGACGAGGCCGAGGTGGAGACGTCGGAGGCCCGAGGAGGATCAGCGGGATGCGGGGGTGGAGGGCGATGGGGCGTCCGAAAAGGCGCCCAACCCGCGTGAGCACGGGCGGCCCTCGTGGTGCCGCCAGGAGGCACCACTGCCCGCGTCCACACGGCCAAAAGGGGAGCGGAACTCGAAGAGTTGTGAGGCAACTCCTGAAAGGTCTTCACAGTAACAATGAAGGGGGCTACTGAGCGAAATGTAGAAAAGCTTCGGCCAGAAAAAGCCCAGGATCACGCCCGATGAGGTGGAATCCAAACGGACTCAGCAGATTGTGCCACTCTTCAGCCACGGATATACCAGCGCCAAAACTCAATTTAAACTCCCTGGAGTTGCATCTTAGGGCGACGGGGCCTATACATATCCACTGCCCCAAGCCAGGGAGGCGTATACACTGCTCCTGGGCCCAGGAATGGGTCAGGCCTGGGGTGGCGGATATGTATAGATCTCGTCGCCCTACATCTTGAGAAGAGGACCCGCAGGAGGCTGGGAGTGAAGGACGAGAAGGCGTCCAAGTGAGACGCCCTCCGCGCGGCCTGCATGTGCGCACCCGCGCTCTCCGCCTTCTGCAGCTCCTCGCTGGGCGCCCCGGACACGGAGCGCCCGCGCGAGTAGATCGGGCGAACGACCTAGCGATTCGGAGGACGACAGCCATGGCCCTGGCCAGGCCCATCCTGGGCCAAGGACCGGTGTATACATCCTCCTGGCCCGATGGGGGGGGCATATACAGTGATCCTGGGTCCAGAATAAGCCTGGCCAGGGGTGGCGCATTTGGCATGCGATCGGGGCCGAACCCTCCACCCCTCCTCCCTATGAGTAGATCCGCAAGCGCGCGCAGTTGGTGTGTGTGCGTGTGTCGAGCCATTGTTGTTGATAGCTACTCTTGCGTCTAGAATCACAATGATGAGGAGCCCCTGACGTATCTAACCCATTCTGCGTTCATGTGTTATGACTGACTTCATGCGTCGCCTGGCCCCCCCTGCCTCATCTTCTCCACCCTCACGGCGGCTTCAAGAAAGTTTCTAAGAAGGCCAATCTGGCCCCAGATGGCTTCCAGGACGGTCCAAAATGGCCTCCAAGGCGGCCTCGATGGCCTCAAGACAAACCAAGAGGCCCCAGAGACGCTGCAAGAGGCCTCCAAGAGGACCCCCAGAAGGGCCAGAATATGCTAAAGCCACAAATTCCCAAGACGAGGATCCCAAGACGGCGCAAGAGGGCCCCAAGATGGCACAGAAGGCCAGAAGACGGCCCAAAGACGGTCCAAGAGAGCTCCAAGGTGGCGCTGAAGCAACCCGAGAAAGCTTCTAAGACAGCCCAGAGATACCCCCGAGACGGCCTCCGAGGGCGTCAGACGGGCCAAGGGCGCCCTGAGACAGCCTAACAGGCCGCCAAGGTGTCCCGAGAGGCACTTAAGAGGCCACGAGGCTCCAAAGAACCCCCCACCCCCAGGCGGCCGCCCGAGCGCCGTTGCGGAACCACGCAGCAGCGCAACTGTAAAAGTTCCTCCTCGTCGCGCCACCAAACGTGTGGCACAGGCGTTTCGGCTGATGCAGTTCACGCATTTTCCTTCTCAGGGTGGATGTTTCCAACAGCTACCTAGCGCAGCGTCGTGGCGCACATTCGACTCCAAAGTCTCAGCATGCCCCGGTCGGGTGCGCCGAAGAGGGGGGGCAGGAAGAGGGGGGTGCGCATCATGGCCAGGGATGTATGCGCAGACGAGGGGGGCCCAAGGAACGCAGTGAACAAAAAAGAAAAAGGCCATGACATCTGGGAGATCTGCCACCGTGCCCCCTGGCACATTGAGGTGTGGAAAGATGCCACGGTCTGTCCGATCTTCTAAAGAGCTCCCCCCCTCTACCTGCGTCCATCCGCGTGGACGCCCCCTCTCCCGAAGCCCAAAAACAAACGATGGATACGCGTTCCCGAGACCGTGAACCTTCGTCAAACATACTGAATGTATGTGAATGTGCGTGTGCGATTTCCTTGCGCCTTGAAATCTAGGATACATCATGGCCCTGGCCGCTGTACCCCCCCCCCCCCACCCCCCTTGGACGCTCCCGACGGCCGCCTGCTGCCTCGGGGGCGTCCCTGACAGCGCGCAAATAGACGCCGACAACTTTTGAGCGAAATGTGCCCTCGGCGACACTGTTCTCCGACAGTGATCGCCCGGCCCCACGACGGGCAACGCTGGGACGGCGCTCTGATGCACAAGTGTGAGAAATTCGTTGGTCGCTGCAAAACTTCATTGCGCAGCTGTTGCTTATACAAGTTGCTGCTGCCTGGCAGGAGTCCTTTTGCCGAATGCCTGAGCTGCTGCTTGCCGTAGCGGGTGACCGCCGTCGAGCACCCACCCCTGGGATGTCTGGCTGCCTGGGTGGCCAAATGCCCGCAACTAAAACAGATTGTACTCCCCCGCTGGCCACAGAAACCAAGCGTGTGGGAGGCATATGGAGAGCGCCCATCCACCCGTGGAGCTCGGGGCATCATTGCAAATCCATTCAAAACAGCCCTGCGTGGGAAGTGCCAAGCAACAACTTGTCAGACGAACAGCTGGGGGATGACCCCCCAAAAGCACTGCAACTAATTATTGAACCCGCCCTGGCTCCTGGAGTGCGGGCAGTGGGTAGCAACTGGATCTTCAAATCCTGGTTCTGTCTGGCTGTCTTCTTCTGCCTGGGGACTCTGTTTCCCTCAGCCCCAATACTCGCCACGAGGGTCTGTCCAAGGTGGTGTCTGGCCTGGTGCGCAATGGTCTGTGCGTGAGATCGGCAGTCTCGCTTAACCTCGCTCGCCCTGAAGCTGTCCGCCCAAAAGTCGGCCTCGCTGTCTGCAAACTCGTGGATAAAACGCCGCGCGCACCTCTGCTGCCCCTGCGACTCTCCACCTTAGTTCGGACAGCCCCTATGGATGGATGCAGCGCAAGCATGTTTCCGATCTCGGGCCAGAAATCTAAATGTGACTCAGGACTCCAACCTCGCTACACGATAGCAGAATAACTGGCTGTGCGCGAGGAATCCGCGACAACACGCGCACTGCCAGTAGGGGCGGCCCTCGCAAACTCCCGGAAACTCAAGCCCTCACCCCCCCTCGTGGCAGATTGCCTCCCGCCTGGGAATCGTCCGCGCGCGACTGTATGGGTTCGGGACTGCAACGACCCAGGACCAAGCATGGGCTGGTTTTTTGGTAACCTCCCCTCCGCAGGCGCCCCGAAACTGCAGCCCCCGACGAAGGCGCCCTCGCCCCCCCCGGACCCCCCGCCCTCCGAGCCTGCGGAAGTCCGCAGCGTCGGGGGGCGGGGCCGCGGAGGCCCGGGAGCTCGGCGTCGCCCCTCGAAACCACCAGCCGGGATTGCTCCGACGGTCGGCCCTGGCCCTGCGGGCCGGGAAGTCCGTCGCGTCACTGGACTCCTTATTCTCTTCGCACAACCGAGCTCTGCGCAGATCACACTCGAACGCGTTGCCACGCCTCTGTCAATAATTGCTTGTGGATAAGCCACAATCGATAACGCGGCCGTTCGGCCAACTGTTGCTGGTGGCCGCTGCCCTCAGAATTCCGGCCCACGAACGCTTACCTTTCCGGATGAAAGGCCTGGGCACCTTTCGGAAACCCAGCAATTCGGGAACGAGCTGCAGACCTTGGCCGTTCCAGGGTGGACGCCGCCCCCTGCAACTGTCTCTCCTTACGGGCAAGATATCTGTGCCTACAACAAGGCCTGCTTTGCCCTTTTTTCCAAACTTGGACTCAACCATCGCCAACGGCTCACCTAGGTCACCTTCACACGCCCAGTGCCCCCCCGGGGATGTCAACCCAGGTCCAGGAGGGTGGCGGCGGTAGCCGCCGCGGGCGCGGAGACTCCTCTGCGCCTCTGGGAAAGCTCATTGTCCCGAATCACCTGGAGAACTTTCGGCCAGACCCTTCGGATCCTGTCCGCGCTTATAGTCTCTTCAATGAAAAATGAGAGCGAAGCCTCGATCGTGTCGAACAGAACTGACCGTGCTCTAGCGCAAGCAGGATCTCTTCTACCGCACTCTAGCGTAAGCAGAATGGCCAGGCACTCCCGCCCCCACCCCCCTCACCACCCCCATGCGACCCCCCCCCCCCCCGACAAACGACAACGCCATGCGCCGCATCAGAGTATCCCGAGTTGGCGAGCGCAGCTGTCATGGCGACGATATTGGCCTCAATCTCTTACATGACATGGAACACTTGGCGAGCTCGTGGAGCTTCTAGAACTTCTGGGAACGCGTCAGAAGCCCGCTCGGGGCCGGGCGCCCCCCCCCCGTCAAATGGCGAGGTCCGGCGCACAGAGCCCGACCTGGATCTGAATGTCCTCGCCCCCGCAAAATTTCGGCCGCGCTTTCGCTGCATCCGTGCTGGACTTGTTCGCCATGCTGAGATTAAATCTCTCGGGGTCCCTGGCGAGCTCAAGGCCAGCCTGCGAAAATTTGCTGAAGACGAAATTACAAATGTTTGCAAGGGCTGGACAAGGTCATCAACCCTCGCGTGTAAGCCAAGTTCTCGGCACAAGATCGGCACACACGCGGTGCGAAGCAGCCCAGGCTAGGTCCACGGCTCCACTACTCCGCGAGATTTGGAGACAGGCCTGAATCTCAGGCGGTGGGTATCCGGCAGCCCCCCCGAAGGAATCGAGGAGCGGCCATGCGGACCTGGAGCTCATGGGCTAAACATCAAGGATAGGCATCTAACTCCAGCGCTTTCCCAAATTCCCTGAAATCTAACCCCCAACGCGCGCTATCGTAAAAGCAGCGGGTGCCCCAGGGCTGGCTGCTGCTCTGAAAACCAGGGAAACTGGAGTTGGCAGCGTCTTCACCTCGGCAAGCGCAACGCGGAGGGCCGAAGATCCCGCGATCTCCGCGTCCCCGGACCACGTTACGAGTCCGCTCGGACCTGTCGGCATGCCAGACTCGGCCCCGGAAAACAGGCCAAACGCGCGGGAAGACCAGTGTCCCTATCCGAATTATGATGTTACACCTGCCAGGTGGCCAGGTAGACTAAGACTTGCCAGCGCCGACACACAAATCAGCCTCTACATCATTCTAAAGGACCCGCTATACCTTGCGAGCCCACCCTGGGGAGACAAAAGACTTCCCTTGCGCGCAACTCCCCGTCGTGCGCACCTTGTTCCTTGAGCCTGTCACACGGCCCCTTGTCGCCAGCGCAGTCCTGCTACGTGGCCCAAGTGTGAAACGTACTCAAACTCGCGCGTAGGACCCCCATCTGGGCCCCCATCTTTCTGCGACGTTTCTCGAGCTAGATCGCTGTGTGAGGGCCCTGGGGCCCGAAAGCGGCCGAGAAGGCCCGGCGTGCAAACACTGCAGCGCCCGGATGCCAAGGAGGGCCGCCGCAGACGAGGCGGAGAGAGGCCGCCGCAGGCCCGCGGCGAGTATCCTCCCGCAGCCGCCCGCCCTCGCGCTGCAGCACCTCCGCGAGGCCCTCGATGCGCTCTCGCTCCAGGGCCTCGCCCGCCGACTCCACGTGGAGCGGGGCCTGCGGCTTCGGCCGCGCAGCCCCAGATGTTCAGGAATTCTTGGTTTTGTGAACCTGCGGCTTTTCGTCCGATTGGTTTCCGACCGCGCGATGACCTTGGAACCCCTGAAGACCTCACCGCACGGGCCATCACCGCACGGTTTGGGGACCTCCGAGGCCCCCGCCGACCGAGACATACATCCTCGGAGAAGGACCCAAGTCCCAAAAACGTGCGGTGGCCCCGAATCCCAACTGACTCACCACACGGTGTAGTCACCGCACCGTTTGGGCGGCCCCGACTTTCAGGCCCAGGGACAATCACACATGGATCCAGGACGAAACACCACCCCCTGGGAAGCGGTCGTGAGCAGACTGACAACAAATCAGGTCGGCGGATATCAAAGGTGGGAGGCGTGGGCAGCAAGGTGGACCCGGGGGCGCAACCGACGAATGCGTACCAGACAGACTGGGCCAGATACGCTGGGCAGGACCCGATGGGTCTGGACTCCTCTGAAAGCGCGTGGGGCGCCAGGGTCCTCAGGTGGGCGACCACGTGAGAACACTGCCCCTGCAGGTCAGTCTTCTAAAAAGCCAGCTGAGGGTGGAGGGGGGGAGGGGGCTGACGCCATTCAGGCCCGGGAAGGAGGATGGGGGGGGGGGGGGGCTTCACTCTGTCGGCGGGGGGGAGCTGACGACTCAGGCCGGGAGAGGAAGGGGGGGGGGAGGGCTGACGCCATTCAGGCCCGGGAGGGAGGAGGGAGTTGGAGGGGGCTGACGCCATTCAGGACTGGGAAGGAAGAGGGAGGGGGGGCTTCACTCTGTCGGCGGGTGGAGCTGACGCCATTCAGGCCCGGGAGGGAGGAAGGGGGGGGGGAGGGCTGACGCCACTCAGGCCCGGGAGGGAGGAAGGGGGGGGGGGCTTCGCTGTCGGGGGGGGGGGGGATGGGGCTGATCTGATTCAGGCCCAGGAGGGAGGGGGGGGATGGGTTGACGGCATTCAGGGAGGGGGAGGAGGGGGGGGGTGACGAGTTTCGGAGAGCGTGGGCTCGAGCTCGCTCAAACTTCGCTCTGTCGGGGGGAGGGGGGGGGGGCTGACGCCATTCAGGCCCGTGAGAGAGGAGAGGGGGATGGGGCTGACGCCATTCAGGCCCCGGGAGGGAGGAGGGGTTGGAGGGGGCTGACGCCATTCAGGACTGAGAGGGAAGGAGGGGGGGCTTCACTCTGTCGGCGGGGGGGAGCTGACGCCACTCAGGCCCGGGAGGGAGGAAGGGGGGGGGGGCTGACGCCATTCAGGCCCGGGAGGGAGGAGGGGGGGGATGCCATTCAGGCCCGGGAGGGAGGAGGGGGGGGGGGGTGCTTCGCTCTGTCGGGGGGGAAGGGGCTGATGCAATTCAGGCTCGGGACGGGGGAGAAGGGGAAAGAGGGGGGGGGGCTGGCGCCATTCAGGCCCAGGACGGAGGAGGAAAGTGCTTCGCTCTGTCGGGGGAGGGGGTGGGGGGAGGCTGACGCCATTCAGGCCCGAGAGGGAGGAGTGGGGGGAGGGAGGGGGGCTGACGCCATTCAGGCCCGGGAAGGGAGAGGGGGGGGACGTCATGGAGAGGAGGAGAGGGGGAGGGGGGGGGAACACCATGGCTGACGCCATTCAAGCCCGGGAGGACGGGGGGGGGGCGGGGAGCTCGCTCAAGTTTCGCTCTGTCGGGGGGGAGGGTGGTGCTGACGCCATAGCTGACGCCATTCAGGCCCGGGAGAAAGGAAGGGAAGGGGGTGAAAGGGGGGACGCCATGGCTGACGCCATTCAGGCCCGGGAGGAGGGAGTTTTGGGGGGGGGGGCTGGGAGAAGGAAGGGGGGGAGGGAGGGAGGAGAGGGGGGGGGGAACGCCATGGCTGACGCCATTCAGGCCCGGGAACAGGACGTCGGCGGGGGGGAGGGGCTGACGCCATGGCTGGCGCCATTGAAGCCCGGGAGGGGGGAAGGGGGGAGGAAGCTCGTTCAAGTTTCGCTCTGTCGGGGGGGAGGGGGCTGACGCCATAGCTGACGCCATTCAGGCCCAGGGTGGGGGAGGGAGGAGGGGGATTCAGGCCTGGGCGGAGGAAGTCGGGGGGGGGGGGGGCTGACGCCATTCAGGCCCGAGAAGGAGGAGGGGGGGGAGGGGGGGGGGCCAAGCTAAGTGCGCTCGCGTCATGTCTGACATCCTACCCCTCCCATCCCTTACCATGGCGCAGATCCCCTCTTTACTCGCACAGTCGTATGTCAAGCAAGGCGATGATCCCGAAAGGGTACGCGATGCATTGTAGAACATGGCATGGCGTGGCGTGGCGTAGAAGAGCACCACGAAGCGTAATATCAACCTAGCATTGCATTGCATGCCGTGGCATGGTACGGGACACGACGCCAGCGCTGCAGCGGGAGCACGAGTCGAAACGAGCGGAAACGCGGAAATGAGGCCAACGCTGCAGCGGGAGCACGATTCGGAACGAGCGGAAGCACGGAAATGAGGCCAGCGCTGCAGCGAGAGCACGATTCGGAACGAGCGGGGCCCGAAAATGAGGCTGGCGCCTCAGCGAGAGCAGCATTTTGGGAAAAAATGCAAGCGAAAACCCAACTCCGGGGAAGGCAGAAATTCAGCATTTTCAAAAGAAAAAAATGTGTATCGGAATGGCAATTTTTCGGCGCCGCCTCGGAACTCGATTTTCCGGCGCCGGCCGGAACCGGCTCTGGACCCGGCACGGGGGCACGGGCCAGCGCCCGGGCTGGCTCTGGCGCCGGCCTGGGCGTCGGAATCGGCCCGGGAGGCCTCCCGGGCGCTGGAAGCAGAAATTCAGCATTTTCAAAGGAAAAATGTGTATTAGAATAGCCTTTTTTCGGCGCCGCCTCGGAACTCGATTTTCTGGCGCCAGCCGGAACCGGCTCCGGACCCGGCCCGAGCGCCGGCCCGGGCGCCGGCTCGGGCGTGCAGCCCGGGCGCCGGCGGAAATGATGCCAGCGCTGCAGCGTGAGCACGATTCGGAACGAGCGGGGCGCGAAAATGAGGCCGGCGCCTCAGCGAGAGCAGCATTTTGGAAACAAATGCAAGCGAAAACCCAACTCCGGGGAAACCTGTGTAAAAAAACAGTGCGCGGGGGGGGGGGGCGAATATTCCCAAGACGTCATCAGGGGAAGAGGGAGAGTAGTATTCATATTGAGTAATTGTTGACGCCATTCAGGCCCGGGAACGGGGAGGGTGGGGGGGAACGCCATGGAGACGAGGGGACGGGGGAGGGAGGGGGGAACACCATGGCCGACGCCATTCAGGCCCGGGAGGAGGGGGGTGGGCGGGGGAGCTCGCTCAAGCTTCACTCTGTCGGGGGGGGGGGGGCTGACGCCAATTCAGGCTCGGGAGAGGAGAGGGGGGGGAGGGCCGACGCCATGGCTGACGCCATTCACGCCCGGGACGTGGGAGTCGGGAGGGGGGCGTGGGCTGACGCCATGGCTGACGCCATTCAGGCCTGGAAGGAAGGAGGGGACATCCCATGAGTTTAGCTGTTCCCGCGAGACCGTCACTTTTGAATATCCGAAGGTTGCCCAAGCCAATTCACGATCTCTGTCTTATGAGGATGTCTCGATCGAGTGCTTTACTTTTTAACATAAAAGGTCATCCGTTGCAAGCAGAATCGGTAGCAACCCGGATCGGCGGCACTGGCCACTACAATAGTTTGCCGCATCATTGGCAGTATCGTTTCGATGTGGACGTGCGTGCGCTTTGACGATCAACTAACAGACCGTCGAGAAGGTACCTCGCCCTTCGGTGGGATATTCGTTCAACAACGCATGTGCGCCGCTTACTAAGCGTGGGCCGTCGTCGTCGAATCAGCTGGGTGTACCAAACCACTGCCCCCGTGATGTGGTTGGAGCTGCTGGGGCCGTGGCTAGTCTGGCACTTCCCTGTCATGCTGTCTAAGGCTACACACAAGACTGTGGGGATCCCTCCCAATTGCAACTACCTCAGCGCATCACACACGCTAGCAGGTGTGCGCTAAGGAGACTTGTTCAAAAATGACTTCGGGAACCCTATGTACGTAGGTGGAGTCGGAAATATTGGCGGAAGCAATCAGCACTGTCGCCTGGCTCCTCCGGAAGTGATGAGGCATGATATGTACGGGAAGGTTCGGTGGTACGGCATGTAATCTTCGAAGGGGCGAACCTCTCCCGGGGCCGCGCCTACCCGCACACATGCCTCCCACCTTTCCATTGTAAAGAACCGTGGTTCTGCGCTCTGCGCTCCTGTGGCCACCATTTTTCCTAAAACCTATGGGCCCACGCCCCCGCGATCTCTAGCAACAAAAACTCTGCATCTGCGGTCCGACAGAGCGACTTTTGTGTACGCTGCCTGGTGGCAAAATCCCCCCCGCCCGCTGCAACTGGGACCACCCCCCACCTCCTTCCGACAATCACCCCTCTCCTCTCCGGAACTGAGACTCCCCCTCCCTCCCCGGCGAGTCCCCCCCCTCACAAAAAACGGAGGGGATGGGGGGGAATTCGGGAACTTCGAACCTGCCCCCCTCGCTCGTCACCAGCAACCGACGTCTACGACGACGACATCGCAGTCGCCGTCGCCGTCGTCGTCACCGCCGTCGTCATCGTCGTCTTCGTCGTCATCGCCGTCGGAAAGTCGGTCGGTCGGGCGGGACACGTCGTCGCTCGCCGTCGACATCGCAGTCGCCGTCGCTGTCGTCGCCATCGTCGTCGTCTTCGTCGTCGCCGTCGCTGTCGCTGTCGCCGCCGTCGTCGTCGTCGTCGGCGTCGTCGCCGGCGAGTCGAACAGTCGGTCAGCTGGGACACGTCGTGGTCGTCATCGTCGTGGTCGATTTGGTCGCGCGGGCGGGACACGTCGTCGCCTCCTCGTGGCCGCTCGTCGGAAACGCGTCCTCCTCATTCCTGGCTTAGTGCCTCCCCTGAGTGAGGGGGGTAAGCTGTGGTGGGACTGTGCCTTTCCCTCCTTCCCTTCTCCCTCGCTCGCTTTCCTCCTCCTCCTCCTCCTTCT